CTCCAACTTCAGATGCTTCGCTACGTCCTTGAGTCTACACGTTTGGAGTGTAAATTGCATAACTAACCAGCTGTTGTAGTTAACTTCGACATTGCCCTAAAAAGTTATACAGAAGTACGGATCGACTTTTCAATTTGTAAAATTTATAATGTATATACGAAACATATAAACTCATATAACTATGAAAGCCTTAGGTTATGTTATGTAATATATATGTTAAATGTAGCTATAGCTGGTGTTTCTAAATTTTAATTTTGGACTTGTAAACAGTATACATTTCATTGAACAATGAAATTTTTTAATGTAAAACGGTTCATACTTACCCTTTTTGGATTGAGTAATATGTAGTGATCGAATTGTTCATTCTTGAGTAAAAGTTCTGGTCTTTCTGAAGCAACATCTTTGAGTAACTCACAATTTTTGTCACAATTTGAGCTTTTTCTGAAGTTAATAGATCTACCCGATGTGTCTTCACTCACACATAGGAAAATACATTGCACTCCTGAGTGAGTGTGAAGATATTTTATCACTGTGCTGTTCAAACGGTAACCTTTAATAAAATTTTAAGCAAATACTAGAAACAGATACCGTCACAATAATATATGGCGGAGTGGATTAAGAATAAATTTACGTGAAACATGCAGTTTGATTCATTAAATGGATAGTTTTACCTATAATACGCCCTAAAACAATGAATGGTATTAATACGTCTTTCTACTTGGCTTTTCTTTAGTAAAATATATATCTTGTGCTCATATTGTTGTGTTGCACCAGGGTCAATATAATATAATTGTTTTGTTATAGTTGACATGAAGTGATCGTAGTTGCATGTTGTTCGTTTTGGTGTTGCACGTTGACAGCATATGTTGCAGTTATAGCTCTGTGATCGCTGTCTGTTTTTATATACATCTATATTCGGGCGTGTATTCCTGTTATATCCAGTTTTCTTATTACAATTTCGATCAGTCGCAATTAGGTGAGAACAGACCTTCCCATAATTTTCTCTCAAATACCAGAATTTTTTCGGGTACTTCGATTTTCTTATGCTGCAACACTAAAAATATAAGGGACATCCTTTACGAACTCACAGAGCTTTTCAGTAAAAGCAAAGTTTAGTTTGGTATCGTCTTTTACATCCGTTTACCTTGAATCACCCTTTTGCTATCCTGTATGCAGGGTGTATAAAAAAAAACTGAACAGATTTGAAATTGCTCTCAATTTCGCAAAACAGTTCGTGGTATCAAGTTTTTGTTATATATAGATTCCTTGAGTACCATAATGTAGAATAATGAAAAAATACTCGAACTCAAATTGTGTAAACCAGGGGGGGGGGGTGTTTCTTTCCCAACAAACTAAAAATGGCTTGCGCACGAAATCTAGACTAAAAGCTTTAATCGTATTTTGAGTTAATGAATGGAAAGTTTGTTGGGTTTTTAATTAATGTACAAAATTTCAGACAGTTTGCTTTAGTTTAAGAACTTTAACTATTCATTTTTTCCTAAAAATGCAGCCTTTCGCATGCTTAATTAATAAAATTTTGCTGACATATGCAAATTAGGCAAAGGCATTAACTATAAGCATACATGCAAAAGGCTGATTTTTAGGAAACTGAAATGTAAATCTGTTTAGTTTTTATACACCCTGGATACATAATTATGCGAGTCAACATCTTGCGATTTAGTTTAACTATATAGTCGCCAACCTTGTTGAACTTAACTTAAGTAAAGACAGTATAGCATTTTCAAGACGTTTATATTGGATAAGCAAAGTTATATTCATGTTAATATTCTGATCTTACAAAACATTAAAAATTTCACGTCTCTATAACAAAAATATTGACACTTAAATGCAGTTTATCAAAACCTACCTTTCTTTGATCCGTCAAAACAAAAATCAAGCCCTTCTCCAAACTGAGTTTGAAGATTAAAAAAATTCAGCGACAAAAGACTGAATCTCAGAAATACAGAAGCCAAACGCCAAGCTTCCATGGTCATGCAATGAGAGGTTACAAGATGAATTACGACAAGTTTCGTTTTCCCCTTTTCTGTTATTTGAACAGGTAGCTATATAGGCCTATATACGTGTTGATATCTAGATCTGTTATCAGATTAATTTGAATCAACTTGCGAATGATTCAGTATTTTTTTCAATACAAACAGACTGCGGATCTTTTCAACAAGAATACCTCTTCATTCATCCGTCGACTGATCGATGTAGGTACATCATGTTTGTGCAAAATTGCCACCTGTACTAGATTGTCATAAATGTAGCTAGTTATACCGAAATCGTAAAGGCTTCTTGCGTGAGTACCATTAAGTTGTTGATTTAACTCGCTTGTACACATACGTAATTTTATTAGCATTTAACTGGTAATACGTTTTTGAAAATTAAAATTCATGATAAATAGCAACTTATTGACTGCCATGCATGCAGGCATTTAAGAAATATTGCACGCTAAAAATATAATAAGTTCGAAAAGAACAATTGACAAAGTATTTCTTACTTCGTTTGGAAACCGTTAACAAATTGTCAAATTTAATTTTAAAAGAACAGTTGGAACAACTTCAGTCGTTTATACTACGCCTAATAACAACATTACTGCATGCGCCGCTTGCCGCGAGATCGTGCTTGAAACTACGACGTACGAGATCGATCTGGGCAGCACGTTAGTAAAATTTCTCATTGATTGACAACTCATAGTGTATATCTTTCCAAAGAGACAGAGTGGATCTTTTCATCAAGAAGACCTAGTATATATTCGTCCACCTGTACAATGACTTACGCACAACATTGCCATGCATGTTTAGGCAAAATTGCCACCTGTACTAGAATGTCATATAGTTATTTTATAGTGCACGTAGTGCCAGTGAGCGAAAATGAAAGTTTCTTGCATGCAGTACCGCTAAATTGTTAATTTAAACTCTCGTTATAGACAACATTCATAAACATTTAACTAATTATTAAGAACTGATAAATTAAATTAAAATTTTGAGAAACAACAACTTATTCTCTCTATTTAAGAAATGGTGAACAAGTCATGTGCATTTATGGTGTGATAATGTGCGAGGGCAATGTTGCGAGAATAAGGGAGACTTTTTTTTCTTTTTTTTTTCTTTTTTTTAATGAATTTGTCACTTTACTATTACGATACAGACTAATTAAAGACAAATAAAGAGAGATACAAATCGTGACAGGGGAAAGGAACAGGACTCTCGTCCCAATTGACACCTAACCCCTAAAACGTATAAATACACGATCGATGCGTTCTCGACTATTCTCCCAACATTCCCAGCGTGCATTATTTAAGAAACAGAAAATGAGTCGCGTGCGTTTATAGTGTGATAATGCACGCGGGGAATGTTGGGAGAATACGAGAGAAGCCTGTAAAACACGAGGCGTAGCCGAGTTGTGATCTCCCTAATTATTGTGATAATGCACGAAGGGAATGTTGGGAGAATACGAGGCGTACCCGCGTGTTTTACAAGCTTCTCGAGTATTCTCCCTGCTTCGCCCAGTGCATTATAACTTTGTCACACGAGACGAGTTTTTCTATTTATTTTATAATATATGTAGAAGATATTACATGGTAAAAATTCTGCTTAAAAGTTTGACATTGAAATTCTCCTAACATGTAGCACAGAATACTATACAGAAGTCCATGTTCACTGTTTTTTGCTTAAGCGCTATTCGTCATCATTCGTCACTCAGCAAGTACCGTAAACAGAAGCAGTCGCCCCCCTGGACTTGCGCCATTTTGAGTATTTCCAGGTGGGTAACTGCATCTGTTTACGGTACTTGCTGAGTGACGAATCATATGATGAATACCGCTTACGCAAAAAACAATGAACATGGACTTCTGTATAGTATTCTGTGCATGTAGTAAGTATCGTCACGCGCATTGCTTGTACTTGTCGCTTAGCAAAAAGCTTTTCAGGAAAAATGTACAATATTTGTAGCCAAAACAATAAGATATTTTGATGTTAAAGTTGCTAAAAACAGTTTAAAATTCTGGAAAGAAAAAACAGTAAGACGCAGATTATAGCTATATCATTTGCTAATGTTTTCCAGCAATCTGGCCCGCTGGATTTGCTATAAAAACCGTGAATTCGGAGTTTTTTGTCTGTTTAATTTTTGAAAATTATTGCATATTGTATTTCGCCGAAAATATAGCTGTTTTCTACCAGAAGCATTTGAAGCTACTTTCTGAATCACATTTGTTCAGGTTTTGTAGCTTTTTTCTTATCTTTTTCAAATTTTTCTCGACAACAGTTCTATAATTTCGCTTTTGCTCAAAACTAATTGAATTGTGAAGACAAAAAAAAAATTCGGCGAATGCCGACGGCTGGTTATAATTTTTTTAACGTAGAACTATGTAGATAAAATTGCTTTGTTCCCTCGGCTCGATCTGTTCCTTCTGACTTTCTGGTAGATTTTGCATTTTAAAACTCCAAGTTTTGTTTATATTTTTGGTTAGAAAGTAGAAATGAAGCTAGAAAAACATTAAGGCAGTGCCACAGATCACAGTACATTGTAGCGTTAATGCACTGTGATTTGTGGCACTGCTTGCATCCCTATCAATGCAAGCTTGTTATTATTGGTATATACACTGGCACTGGCACAGACCGTTCTTTATTATCATTAATGTACGCGCATTATCCAATAAAATTTTTACGCAAGTGAATATAACAAATCCTGTATGTTGATTGGTCAAATTTCAGGTATTAATCTGTTATATTCACCTACGCAGGTGAATATATAACAAAACGAAACTTTCAAATAATGGCGGCTAGTTGTTTTGTGGAAGTTATCTGAATAAGAAATAAGAAATAAGCAATATGTGTTAAAATAAATTCAGTCTCAAAAAACACAAACGACTTGTGTAAAAATACTGAAACAATTATTGCCCTCGGCGAATATTCCTCGATAATCACCTCGCCTTCGGCGAATAATTGTTAAATTTTATATCCTACTTAAATAATTATTATCAGTAAGAAGTAGTTTATATGGACCGACTAATGGACCGAATATTTTAGCACCTTTTGGAAACACTCATTTATTGCCAATCGGCAAACTGGTCCATTTACACTCGCAAAACCAGTCTGTCTTGTGGTTGGGATGAGAGAAC